TACTACTACTTACTTAACTAACTAAATAATATTACTACGTAGTAGAGTAGTATATATATATATATATATATATATATATATATATATATATATATATATTACTCCATTATCCAACTCGGACATTCAGGAAGAGTACAAAGACTCCTTTAATCATACAGGATCAAAGACAGGTTATAATCAAGAACTCTAAGAATCTTGAAATATTTAACTCACTAAATGGAATATAAACATGCAGCAGCAAATGGAAAGTCAGCCAAAAGAAAATAACTTGAACAACAAATATTAATGCTTGGAAAAATATCATCTCGTATTCAACAAATATACACAAACTATGTACGATATTTGTAACGACAAAGAGACATTGGGAAATCAACAGCTAAATTATCAGATATGGAGACTATTTAAAATGACAACAGGTTCAAGTTGTGGAGCATCAATTAGAATGCTAGGAGAAAACTCTACAAGGATAGGAATAAACTATAGAAGGTCGTCAGCATAAGACCTCAGGCAAATGGCTGACAAAGGAAAAAATGCAAGCAAGGTTACCCACAAGGAAGAATGATTGTCATAATATGATCAATCAGTAGGTAGGTAAAGGAAGAAAACAGTTATTAACGGAATGTTCTAAACGCGAAAGTAGGTGGCACCTTCACCGTCGAAGCACACGTCTCATGATATAAGTGCACTAGAAATAGTGTTGGGGGGTTGATGTTGACCACCCTAATTATTTTTCATTCAAAAATATATTTTTTAACTTTTAGCATAGTTCATGTAATTTGTGTTGCGCATACATAAATGAGTTTGGAACTTGAATGAGTAGAAATCTTGAAGATCGAAACTAGCTCAAACTTGAATGTTGAACTTGAAATAAAATAAGAGTCATTAAACATTGTGAATATGGACCATAGGCCTCATGGGGCCTTATGGATTAAGTAGATTATACAAAAAACAAGTCCTATAAGATCTGCGAGTTCACTCTCAAGTGCCAAAACAACAAAACAAGAAATCAAACATCAAATTCTATGCTAAGATTTATCACCAAAAGCCTCATCACAAGCATCACAACCATATCTCCATCATCACTACTTCTTGAAATAGCGCTCTTCTTCATGTCTCCTCTAAGCCAGCCTCCTCCTACTCCCCTATTCTACTCAAACTCTTCCATGAATATCTAGTGATCAGCATAGACCTTGATGAGCTTCCTGCAGCCTCACCAACTTGGCTACAGCACAAACTCTCTTTATGGAAAACCAGATCATCACAGCATCACTGAACTACACACAAAAAATCATCCATCTCTGTCACAGCAATGGGCATAATATGAAAGCACCCCTTCTACCTTTGATTAGAATGAACATATAAGATTTATCAGTCTCTTTTGCTCAAGTTGGTTTCTCTTTTTCATACGGACCTATTGGAGAAAAGAAAATGATGCAAGCTAGGGAATGTGATGACCTCTCAAAGTAAGACAATGTGCATCAAGAAACTACCAACTCAAATAAAGCTCAAGTTGAGGCTGTAACTAAATAAGCTAAACGTTGTGCTCAGTGTGCATGGGGTCATCCTCTGCAAGTGCTTTGCTTTTCCCTCATGTTTGACCAACTATGGAGCTACATTACACAGCAATGACATTTATTAAAGACAGATTTACAGAATATACTAAAATCACAAATTCACAATAAAGAGTTAAGTCCAAATATTACCTAGATGGAGTTTTTCCAAGTGGATCCAACAAGAACTTATGCATATTCAACTCCATTGTTATGAGGTCTTGAACTTCCACATCAGGCATGACTGTCATGCTGCACATATTGAATCCATCCATGGTCCAATCCTAGGAATTAATCTCATAATCAATACAAAGTGTCATGGGTCGAGAAAATAGCATGCTGCATGCAAGAGCCCATGAAGCTAGTTGTTCCACTTAACATCTACAATCTTCCAAACTAGTGAATGCTTTTACTCATCATACCTATAGTTCTTTGATATCTCTTCTTTGGCAAGCTCCATTGTCTTGTCAATATGAGCGATGGGTGGTTCATTCCGAATATCAACCATACACAA